AAGGAACAATTGGACATACAATGCACAATCAGGAATCTTCAAAATCTGTTCATGTATCATGCTGCATGATTCCAGAATCTGTGCTGAAATAAACATTATTATGTTGGAATTCTGCAGGTCAAATGGTCTTGGTTAATGTTCATATAAAAATATTTTATTAAATATAAATATATCATATAGTTCAAGTAAAATGGTTCAATACTACTATTAATTGTTTCAATACTGATATTGAATGGCATCCCTGGAGAGTTTATTGATTATTACCTTGATGAAAGGACAGCTAATACAGTCACCTGTTTTACATTTTTGACAGAACACAGGGACAGTTGTAAACACCTACCCTTTCATTTTTATAAAAAACTCAAAGACTCTTACTCAAATATGATGTGCTAATATTTCGTTTTAGGCAACTTTAATATTACAATAAACAGATTCTACCATAAAAAGCTGTATAAGCCAAGTAAGACTTCTTGTCAATTATCAATGTCCCAACCAAAGATTCTACTTCTTGCACATACACCTTACAAGCAATCAAATTTCTCTTAGGCACATAACCTAACATTTCATTAATATTATCACAAACGAAGCAAAATACCTATGCTGGCATTGGCAATACACTATTCAGCTCTATTACCAACATCAACATTTGGAGGACAATAGCAGCCAATGGTGGCAACATTGTTAAGCAAAGTTTATAATTATCACATCAAAATCCAAATTTGAATTGTTTTAAAAGCTGCAAATCTCATCCCTCTTTATTACTGGCTCCTAATGTTTTGGCTGGCATCAAAGCAGTATCTATTTTTTAACACTTTCCTACTTTCAAGATGCAATACCATTTTAGTAACACACATAATTTTCCCCTGAAATTAAAGGAAACATACAACCATATCATACAAAAGGATATAAAGTAAATTATAACATCTGGAACTTCACATCTCAACTGCAGTACAAACTTAACTGTAAAATACAAACAATGAAGTTTGAAAAAATAAATTGCCAAATGGTAAGGTTATTACTTGCAAAGGTCTGGACAATTTTGTATGAAGGAAGAATTTTGTGGACAATGCAATAGCAATAATAGCAACTCACATCATCCCTGAACTGACCGAAGAGTAAATTCTGTTTTATAGCTGCAGTAGGACAGCATCCTAACCACAGAATATTAAACACAACTCTTCACACGCACTCACCCCCTTATTTTAAATATCAATACAATCAAATCACCAAATAAGATCTGATTACACAGATGTCATGTCAGCAAACACATATGGCAATAAAATCTTCTTAGGCTATCAGCCGCGTCAAGTGGTTAAAGCATGAAAAGACCAATGTCCATCTCTGTCCTCGTCCTCAGGGTACTGAAGTGGTTGGGGCTCTCCACCATTATATACCTGCTCCAGCCCCGTGTGACTGGTGGATGACGTCACTAGCTCGCCTTGTTATGTTCAGCTTACCGGTTATATAACATATTCAACACAGGAAACCAGGCCCAGCTTAGCATAAAACCTCCATCTCTGTTGTTGTCTAACCGGTAAGCTGAGCATAACAAGGTGAGCTCGTGATGCCATCCACCAGTCACATGGGGCCGGAGCAGGTATATATAAATAATACGGTGGAGAGCCCCAACCACTGCTAGGAAGGGACAGGTACTGAAGTGGTTGGGGCTCTCCACCATTATATACCTGCTCCAGCCCCGTGTGACTGGTGGATGACGTCACTAGCTCGCCTTGTTATGTTCAGCTTACCGGTTATATAACATATTCAACACAGGAAACCAGGCCCAGCTTAGCATAAAACCTCCATCTCTGTTGTTGTCTAACCGGTAAGCTGAGCATAACAAGGTGAGCTCGTGATGCCATCCACCAGTCACATGGGGCCGGAGCAGGTATATATAAATAATACGGTGGAGAGCCCCAACCACTGCTAGGAAGGGACAATGTCTTGCACTTGCACAGGACTCTGCCCTTAGTTAGCTTTTTGGTTGGTTGGCCTCAACCACTTCAGTACCCTGAGGACGAGGACAGAGATAGTCCTCGAAACGTTGGTCTTTTCATGTTTTAACCACTTCACGAGGCTGATAGCCCGAGAAGACTTTATTGTGCATAGTCGCTGTGAAAGCTCAAGATCATACAAAACACATATGGATTTGAATCTAAGAAAAAACCCAAAATGTGCTACAAAAAGCAGACTAAACACATTTCACCTTTAGTAGATGGCACAGCCTTTATCATAAACATAAGACAGCAATGTTTTACTTCTGTTTCAAATCAAGGTAGACTTGACATAATTGGTCTTGTCTCTTACACCAAGTTTGCTGGTAGCTGTATAAACTACCTGGGCTCTCATAATCTACCAAGAAGTAAGTTATTTTATAACAGCAAATATACCCAGTATAAAAATTTGTATTCGGCTGGAATGTGTAAGTCACACACAAGAACAACAATGTCAGCATTGCAAACAGCTTTGAAGAGTTAATTGGAATGGAAAATGTTAATATTTGGGACATATGATTGGCAATCCCTGCACTAGACACTTCAGATCTGTCTAGACAGACTGCAATGTTCATAAAATAACATATACATATAAACTCTCTTGGTTACTTTCACAGATACATAAAGTGGTATGTTGTTTTTAAGATCATATCTTAGTTATATGAAAGAGAAATCAAATAAAACATTGCATTTCAATAACCATAACAAAATAGCTTGTTATCAAGGGAACCAAATTTTACAAAATACCTATTTTATGAACTACCTCACACATACAAATTAATTGGTAAAACATAAAACCACTTGACAACTCATATTGAAATAAGAATGAATAATTTCAATTTCTTCATTTCTCATTACTCACTGGTAATTACTGAAAAATGAAACTGACCAGATGAAGTCAAAATATAACTTTCTTCTAAGTTACAGGTTGGAAACTGCACTAGCATCACTCTCATACACACGACCTTTGATATCTGCTATTCTAATTAAAACTACGGTTCCTCACAATGTGATTCCATCTTTCATCACCACTGACACTAATTACAATGTCATTAAAATTAGATTTTACACTAGCAAAGAAATACAACGAAATTAAAAACATAGAAGATATTTTTCATCCAATTCCATGTCTTCATTCACACCAGTTCATCTGTGTGGGTTTTCCTTCCTTGAATCCTATCCTGACTGTATTGGGGTCATGGACTAATAGGATTATCACAAAGTACTAAAATCCACACCTCTGTGCATTAATACCAAAAGGGAAAATGTCACACTTGCAATCACCTTTGTGGTAAAATCAATACAGAGTTTTCCATACTGTTATGGAAAGCACTGGTCTTACTTTTAAATTTGAATTAATATAAATAAATCATTTTAACACAAACATTACACAAATAATATTAGTGCTAAATGGCTCTGCAACCAAACTAGAAACTAGTTTGTGTTCTAATAAATATTTTGTGGTTATTAATTTCACCTAAAGAGAAGGCAGTGGGAGTTCAAGGACAATAATACAGTTAACTTCATAACTGGATGTTCTAAAAACTTTAGTATGGAGAGAAACTACAAATGGTAAATTAATACACTTCACATGCATTTTCTGACTCTTATCAAAGTGTGTGAAAGTTTACTCAGAGTTTCTTGCTGCAGAACATGTTAATCAAAATTAACTGACAATGTTTTTATCCAAAGTTTCATTAAGCATCTGACATCAAAGAACTTTCAATATCTTGCCAGCACAATGTGTCAATTAATGGAGTTCAGACTAAAATTGTTGTGGATGGTAAATCTTTTGAACACATTAACAAATTCTTTAGGATTTTAGTTAAGTTATGATATAAAAAATAGATTGCAGGTTCCAGTAACTCACTGAGACAATAAAACAAATACTTTAGGCAAAGTCTGTAAAGAGATGCTCAACTAACAACAAAACAAATGACTAGATGCATCCAAAATGCACTTCTTCTGGGCCGTGGCAGGATATAGACTGATAAAACGTATAAAAAGACAGTATAATAAGAATTAAGCTAAGAGTGATTGCATTCATATCAACAATTTATAGATACTAACACACATGGGATGGGTATATATTAGAAAGCATAAAGAAAGTACTAACCTATAAACAGCATGAAAGGTGCAGTCAAGGACACCCACTAGCTACATGTTGCCAAACAACTTCAAATGTTTATGATCTGCAGCCAGACCATACCAAATCACCTGAACCCCACTGTATGATAATTATTTAGTTTTAAAATGATTAAGATGTCTTTCATCTTCAGCAAGAGATAATTATGACAATCAACTCTTCAGCGCCCAACTAACAGAGTTTTGAACTAAAAATCACAAATTTTCAAATAAGTTATTAAACTATACTACCTGTTATATTAAATCTTAATCTGACAGGAAGAAGTACAGCAAACTGCCACTTTGCCCAGATGGTCTTAGGCTGGCCACAAGAGCAAACACCGACCAGGGATGAAATGCAATCTCTTCCTTTTCCACCACAAAACTTTGAGTTAATTCTCACATATCCTACAAAGAAAGTTAACATGGTCAAACAGTGAAGTAACAAGCTGCTTGTATCTCCCAAACTCTTTACAGGGTGTGTTCTCCAGATTGAACAAAGCTAAAAATAAATAAGTAGCCATCCCCACATCAGTGTCACCAGCTTTCAAACACAGGAGGTAATTGATGTGGTTTACGGTAATTTAAATGCTGGAGAAACAATTTGTACAACAACCACACATTTCAAGAATGCATAACATGTCTGAGTAAATACATCTGACAGATTTTAAGAACTTTTCATATTCTTAAAATGCATACAATTAGAATTTTAGCAGATCCAACATACTGTAACAAAGTTTTTAAGATATCTACAATTATTCAATTCTCCTAACAACTGAGAGCCAAAGTCTGAATTTAAATGACTAACACACACATGACAGACATGAATAAAAAGAACAAAAATTTCTGGACACCAGCATAAAACACAGGAACCAGTGATGATTATGGTAATAAAATGTAATAAACTTGCCAGTACAAACTTGCTTTCATCCCCATAAACCTTACCAAATACTATAACGCAGTTGAATTTTTTTGTTACATCATCTCATACAAATAATTATGGCATTATTATATCTCCATGACATTAAGGTACATTCAATTGTTCATTGTAGGATGAGTATGTCACATTCACACAAACTTACACTATACAGGAATCCACATAAATGTAGGAGATAGTTAATTAGGTAACTACAGATCAAAAATGTTATATGAACATTTTGAAGTTACAGATATGAAGTGTACTCTACACTGGGAAATGAACAGAATTTGTGAACACTGCTGGGAAAATCATAAATTCAGTATAAGAGGCTAATACAAAAACTTCCAGACACAAATTTTAATTGGCCCAAAAGGAAGTAACTGATTGGATGCAGACCAGTACCCACACCTGTGGACTTCCACAAAAATCCAGCAATTACTATACTGACATTTCACGTAATGTGTGATTTTAAGATGACCGTCTTCTGGTTGTAGTGCCATGTAATCTGGTAAAAGTTTACCATCATTTCAGGGGTGCTTGCTGGCAGATCACCCTGATGATGGATGAAGCAAGCATCTCGGAAATGTCACTAAACTTCTACTAGACTACATGGTGGCATAACTCAGAAGACAGTTATCTTCATACTTGCCACCATGAGAACATGAAATCCTACTTAATGTGTGACTTACTGCTAAAAATTTCAAGGTGTGTGTCATGTACACACATTTGTATTCCTGTCCACAGAGAAATATAATCTAAAAGCAGACACAGTTCATCATGCAGAAACTAACAAGAAGTGTTCAGCAGTTAAATAACCTACAAAAACATGTGGTTCAAACAAATATTTGCTGCACCAAATGTTGAGAGAGAAATTATGCTGATGGTGTGTTTAAGTCACTTTACAAAACAACTCCTTTCAGTGTTCTGTACTATATAACAATAAATATGGAACACGCCATGTTCTCAACAGATTACAGACTGCAGTACTGACAACTAGCACTCACAATGCTTAACTGGAACTGTAGCTTTATGTTTAATGCTTAAAAATAATAATTGAATGTGTAATGTTTAATGTCTGCAAGTACTCTACTCAACTGGAAAAGGAGGTACACCTTAGACGATTACTTACCCAGGATTTAATCCTGCGTGTAGTATATATTATTATTATATGTACTCATTCGCTCACTCTAAGGTGCAGAATATTCTTTCAAAAGTCTATTGTACATTCAGCATGTCAAAGAATAGCCACTTTCCACATGGGTCCGAAGGTTCATCACCATGTTCACAGCATTACATACAGCCTTATGTACAACACTGAATTTATGATTTTATCAGCAATGTTTATAAATTCTGACCACTTCCTTTTGTTGCCTCACTCTGGAGTAAACTCTTTGTCCACAACTTTCGGAGATCTGAAATGCTTGAGCATTGGAAACAGGCTCACATAACATTTTCAACTCAGAATTACAAAATAAACAACCTCCAGAAGATCAGTTCCACATTTCCTGGGACATGTATCCAGTACAAATAAGTGTATGATATTGCCAACTGTATTTAAATACTGCTACAGAGTAACTGAAATATTAACCTTTCCAATAACGGTGTGTCTAGAAACATCGTATCACCAGTCTTCAAAGTGTAAAACTACTGAACATTTTATGCACTAGAACGTGGTAATGCTCTCTCAGTATCCACCTCGATAATCACCACCGAAACCTCCTCCACCACCACTATAATAGCCTCGTCCTCCTCCTCTGTAAGTACCATAGCCACTAAAGCCATAGCCACCTCTTCCCTGGTTGCCATAACCTCCTCTGAAACCACCCCCACCACCACGCATCATCTTTGGGGGTGGTCCATTGTTTCCAAAGCTGTGACCACGTGGTGGGCGTTGACTACTAAAACCTCCCATACCAACTTTTTCCAAGCCATAACGTCCAGCATTCATTTTGCATAGCTGTTTGATGACATTTACCACCCTTCCATCAAGGGGAGACATCTCTGTGATAGACTCTGGCTCAAGTGATGCACGAACCACCAGACTTTCTAGAACTGGACGTAGTGCAACTACTGCAGCCGCCACATCAGGTTTCATTGCCAGATTGATCCAGTTGTCAAGGCGCACCACATTATCAACAAGCTCCACTTTGCGCGAACCAAATAGCAAGAGGTGAATGGGGGTAACCATGGTCATCTGCTTGCACGACACAGCACGTGTCCGAATCTTCTCTCCAAATACAAAGAATGGAAAAGGGAAATGTTGTTCCATGTTGCTGCAATTCACCGATGTCTTGTGGATCAATGCAGCTTTTGACTCTGTTGTAAGAACTTTGCGTTTTTCCTTGTGAAAGCAAACATTTGGATACAGCCCCATGCACATTAGAGCTGTAACCATGTCTAGCTTGGGGTCAGGTTGCCCTTGGTAGTTGAATACAACAGGTACCATCGTCTCCTCTGGAAATCCTGCAGACTGCAAGAGTTCCTTCAGTTGGTTCTTGGCCTCCCATGTGACCCTCAATGTGGGCATGGACAGCATCTTGTGGTCACAGAATGTGGCCTCTGCCTGCTCACCACCCATGCGTGCCTCTTCCCAGGCCTGGAAGGCATTCAACATGGCTACATGATCTGAGTAACGGTTCCCAGCAAAAGCTTTCTGCTGGTATGTCAGTCTTCTGTGGTCCATTCCTGTTGTGAATACTTCTGGTAATGTTGAGCTATTTGCTGCCATTGTAGCTAGAGAGTCACCACAGAAGAATATACAACCAAGAATCATCATCTTCCCAAGTCGGGGTTCTATTGGCAACTTTGCCAGTATTCGGCCCAGAGGAGTTAGTTCATCATTGCTGTCAAGACATTTCATTTCCCTTAGAAGTACCTCAGCCTCAATGACTGCATCTATAGGTGGTGGCTGGATGGCTTTACTAAGAAACTGACCTATGGCACCAAGTCGCAAGAGTTTAATGGAAAGAGCAAGCTCATGGAGTGGAGTTCGGAACATTTCAGGTGTCATGTGTTCATCAAGACGTTCATAGCGAGACTTGCTCAGCAGGTGGAAGCAGAATCCTGGCCGAACTCTACCTGCACGACCCTTCCGCTGCTCAAGGTTTGTTTTTGAAGCCCAGACTGTTGCATAGTTGGTCATATTATTGTGTGAAGTGAATAACTTCATTTTTGCTTTGCAGCTATCTATTACATAGACAACATCATTAATTGTAATAGAGGTTTCTGCTATATTTGTTGACAGGATAATCTTTGTTATTCCCTCTGGAACAGGTTCAAATACTCGGTGCTGATCTTCTCTTGGCAACTGTGAGTGAAGTGGAATAATGCTATAGCCCTGGCTCCCAAAAACTGGATGTTGTTGAAGATGACGCATCAGTGCAAAAATCAAGTTCCACCCAGGCAAGAATATGAGAACTGCACCTGGAAAGCCCAATGTTTTAATGTACTTCAACAGTTCTTCTATTAGCTCAAAACTTACTTCCTTCTCACTCAACTGAGCTACTGCATTTTGAGTCTGTACAGTGTATTCAGAAGATACCATCTTGTTGAGATTCTCTTCTTGATCTTCTGCACCTACTGTTCCTTCACTGTCATCCTTATCTTTGTTACGGCGTTTTCGGGTATCAGCTGGTGGAACAAAGTTTAGCATCTGCACACAATCCTCCAAGAAGTACTCCTGCACTGAATAGGCTCTACCAGGTACCTCAATAACAGGACAGTTGTTGAAGTACTCCCTGAACAGAGTGGTATCAATGGTAGCAGACATAAGAATTAGTCGTAGATCAGGATAAGTGTGAATCATATCACGTAAAACAACCATTATGAAATCACTGTTGACATCACGCTCATGAATTTCATCAACAATAACATGCGACACTCCTCGAAGGCCATTCTCAAGCTTTCGAAGTAACACTCCAATAGTACAAAACATAATTCCTCCATAAGGTCTTGGGAGGCATGACTCAAAGCGCACACTATAACCCACACTCAAACCTAATTGTTCTACTCTCTCGTTAGCCACACGGTCTGCCACAGACACAGCTGATATACGTCGAGGTTGTGTCACAACAATATTGCAATATGCACCTTGTCCAGATTGAATGTAGTCATCTAATATATACTGACATACTTGAGTTGTTTTTCCACAACCAGTGTTTCCTCTGATAATAACCACAGAACTATCATTAATGGCTTCCATAATACCACCCTTCATTGCAGACACAGGAAGTGCACCTCGCTCTTTCACCATAGCCTGAAGAGTAGTATCATTCTGCATTCGATCTCGAAAATTATTTGCAAGATCTTCACTGATTTGATCCATTGTTGCTTGAGCAAGAGGACCTTCATCAATGTTACAACCAGTCCATGGGTTCCAGTTGGGCTGTGGGGGTGACCATGTCACAACACCTGCTGGTTGGGTCTTTGACGACACAAAATCATCCACAATATGTGTTGTCAACAGAGACACTGGTCCTGTTCCAGTTTCTGTGAGAAGTGGCACTGGTTTTATCTGCAGGTCTTCTAGTACATCATAAACTTCTTTTTCCAAATCAGGACTAAGTGCTACTTCATATGGTTTCATTTGCTGACTCTCTTTGTTTTTCTTCAGGGTACCACTAAATGCCTCTATCACTCCTAAATGAAACAATTGACGCACCAGTGAAAGTGCACAACTCTTAGATGCTGTCTGTTTGTTTGAACCTGTCTCTCGACCCATAATGGTTCTTCCTAACTGCTTCACATAGAAGCTCATTTCAGCAACAAAACTTCTAGTATGGTCTGGTCCAACAGGTGTGTACTTGTAGTCGGTCTGGATGCGATGCATCTGCATGAACTGATGCAATTTAGATTTCGCATTCTCTACCGTCCAGTTGCCATGAATACTTGCATTTACATCCAAGTCCTCTGCTTCTTCCACTTTTTGTTGCTCAGCTAATCTGTCCATGTAAGTCTGAGGCCGGTCTCCATCACGTTGGTATGGACGATATGCCTCACCTATTTCATTAGGGCCCATTCCGGGCTGGAAAACGGGACGCGTGAGACCAAGTGACACATGAGGTGCAGTAGGGCCGCCAGATGGTAGATCTGATGGAAGTGCATCTTTGGCATCAGTCGCTGGTCCAAGCTCAGACGGAAGATCCTTCGAATTGACAATAGACTGACGCACCAGATACTGAACAAAATCTTTTGCTGCATTACTCTGTGCATCCTTCTTGTTTGTGGAGTTCCCTGCACCAACATAACCAAATCCTTCTACACGTACTTCACACAAGAAACGTTGTCGATGCTTCGGACCTGTGGGTCGAACATCAAATTGTGGAATCACTTTCTGTTTTGTACACCACTGATGAAAAAATGACTTTATATCACCCATAGTGCAGATACGTGCACTAATAACACGACTTAAAGAACTTTGATAATTAAATTACACTATTTTTTCCTCGCATAAAGTTTCACCTTTCGCCCAGCCACCGAGCTCACGCCATTTCAATATGAAGACAGTGCTGACAATCGTAAACACAGATAATTCCCACCAGCCAGGTTGTTTCCGATTCTTCCTGCATCAGCAACAAAATTTAGTACATTTTCTATGAAACTTCATTCGTCCAAAGAAGAACGAGAGTACTGAATATTTTCATGCTGTTCTAAATAATATTGATGTGGAATAAGGATTTGAGAAATTGTTTTGGCGTAAATACGTCTATATGGAAGGGTCATTCCGCAAAAAAAGTGACAGAAAAATGTGTAAGATCCGTATCAACAAATCGACAACAATGTGTAAATATGGACCGACAACAATGGTCAGCTTGCGTGCATTATTATGTTACCTATGAAACGTAATCTGTATACTCGGCATTGTTGTGTTACATTACTGCCGTCAACAATCCGCTTTCGTAACAAGATGGATGACATTGAAGATAACATTACATTACATTAATTTACTTTACATTACATTACATTACATAACAGAGACGTAAATATAATTTAAATACAGAGACGTATTTACGTCAAATTCTCCGGAACCGTGGTTCCACTGTAACTTTTTAACCATACTGTTCATACCAGCGTAGTTCCAAGGTAAATAGAGGCTTTCTTACTTTCGAAAGGTGACGCTCGTTGTCGTTTGAAAAGTTGTACTCGGCTTGCCAAAGAATAACCCACTTTCTTCATGGAACCCGAAGGTTCGTCACCCTGTTCACAAAAGATCGCCACCGGTCTCTAACCTGATATAGGTGAACCGTGGTTCCACTGTAACTTTTTAACCATACTGTTCATACCAGCGTAGTTCCAAGGTAAATAGAGGCTTTCTTACTTTCGAAAGGTGACGCTCGTTGTCGTTTGAAAAGTTGTACTCGGCTTGCCAAAGAATAACCCACTTTCTTCATGGAACCCGAAGGTTCGTCACCCTGTTCACAAAAGATCGCCACCGGTCTCTAACCTGATATAGGTGCATCCAGTTTGCTCCATCGATTCCTGTCTCCCTGAGGTCCATCATAACGTTGTTCTCACACCTACACCTAGGTCTTCCCAGCGGTTTTCGCTCTCAAGACTACCCAACCAATACCCTACAAACACCCCTCCCTTCAACCCATGCTCGCCACATGTCCCGCCCGCCTCATCCATCAATATTTAATTACACTAATATCAGGCTAGGAGTTCAGGCCGTGAAGCTCATCCTTATGTAATGTTCTCCATGATCCATCTTATTCCCTTTTAGGTTCTAATATATCCTTTTCAACACTCTTTTCTCAAAAACCATCAATTTACGTTCCTCTTTCAAAGTGAGAGACCAGGTTTCATACCCATACTGCCAAATTACACTTTGTACATTTTAACCTATAGTTTTTTTGTGAGAGATGGGAGGACAAAATATTTTGGGCTGAATGATAACAAACATTCCCTGAGTTTAATCTGCTCTATATTTTGTCATGAATGTCATTCTGACTTGTTAGTGTTGTGATCATATGCTTTGTCTTTTTTGCATTTATTTCCAGACCAATATCCCCACCTGCCCTTAAGACTGTTTCTGTATTCCTTTTCTATTGCATTTATAATACTGCCCAACAGATTAGTATCATCAGCATAGACTAACAGCTGATGTGCCCATTCAATTCCAAACCACCCTGATTTTCTTGGACTTTCATGATTGCATATTCAAAGGCAAAACTGAAAAGCATCAGCGATAGAGCATCTCCCTGTTTATGGCCATTCTGAATAGGAAATGTATCAGACAAATGTTACCTATACGAATTTTGCTATAGGTTTTATTTAAACACATTTTATTAGTCATACAAGCTTCTTAGGTACACCAAATTCAAGCAAAATGTTACAAAGAGCTTCTCTTTGAATTGAGTCATAGGCTTTCCTGCAGTACACAAGTAAATGTTGTACATGTAGAACAAAATCAATTGAAAGACTCTTTGTTAAGAAGTCTTCCAGTTAGATATAGAGTTCCTCAGGGCTCTGTTCTTGGTCCATTACTTTTAATTTTAAACATAAATAATATTCTAACACAAGGCAGAATAATAATGTACGCTGATGACACATCAATATTGAATGTAGGACAAAACAAAATTTAACTCAAAAAAAACCCGTCAGATAATATAGTATTAGTAGAGAAATATTTTGAGATAAACAATTTATTTATAAACCCAACAAAAACACACTACATTCTCTTTCAGTTAAAACAATGCAGGCAGGAAAGTAATCTAAAAATTCCAATAAAGCATATGGAAATAGTGAATGTAAAAAGAACTAATTTCTTGGGGGTTGTAATTGATAGCACCTTTAGCTGGGAAGAACATATTGAAAAAACTTGTAGTAGAATTAGTCGTAACATATTTATAATTAATCAACTATCTAAAATACTTGAACTGAATGGAAGGAAAATGTTATATTACGGATTGATCTATTCCTTCCTGTCATATGGAATCGTTGTATGGGGACAGTGCCAAGTTTGTTTTTCTTGATTGTCGAAAAGTTATGTTTAGTTGTAATATAGGTTCTAATTTTACAATGCTATGTTATGCTGCACAAATACTTAATTGTGCAGCAGTCACTTTGCAAAAAGTGATTTTACAACAGCCTAAAGGTTTTATGTGAACAAAGGTAAACGAACCACACTGTTGCAACATGCCTCAACACTCTGTTGTCTGTCTGCAGTTAAGAAACACTGTATTGGATTCAGTCAGTACTTTGTTATTAAAGCAGCATTTAATGAGAATAAAGTACAAATAGGACATAAGACTACTGCACTCCGTAATGCGTTGTGTCCATTGACCAGAAATGCAATATAACTTCAATATTATGAGTTTCTCCTTATATCCCATATGCCCTTCATGCATTTGTCTTGTTAACATAAAATACTAGTGCTTTGGTTGTAATCTGCCATCAAAATACCATCAGTGGTACAGATGCTGAGTCTCATACAAATTTCCCCCATAATTTAATTGTGATCACCAAAATTGCATTATTATTTATTATATATTAATCTTGAATAGGAATGTACATGTGATGTAGTATATGTATGTCACTGGGATACTGGGAACAACCCGTTCTTCAAGTGCCTGAGCACTGCGGGTCCCAACTTTTTGTTGGCTCGATCTATGGACAATCGGTAGGACTCCTTGGATGAGGGATCGGCCCGTCCCAAGGCCTCTACCTGTACACAGGACAGCACAACACAAACATCCATGGCTTGAGTGGGATTCGAACCCATGGTCCCAGCGACCAAGAGCACGATGCCCATGCCTCAGACCACGCGGCCACTGCGGACCTCATGTATGTCACAGGAATAATATATTTCTGTATGAGTGCTGACCCAGGTCAAACCCAACCCAAGGTAACCCAATCCAAGCCAATGCAACCCTAATCCATCCCAACCCAAGCAAACACAACTCAGCCATACCTAATCCAACTCAACTTAACCTTCTGTAACACGCGCGCGCGCGCGCACGCACACACACACACACACACATGCTCAAAATAATATTTGATATAGCAGAACTTTTTATTCCATATGTAAATGTAAAATTTACAGATGAGTTCAAAAACTTTAACAAATGGCTACCTGGATAAAACTGTTGGAAGAAATAACATGAACACAGGTTTAGTCATTACGTCAATTGGAATTTATAGTTTTTAGCAAGTAAAATTTCTTAATGTTTAACACTGACCACACTGTCAAATTTATAACATATGAGTTTGTATTCTAGAATGGTGTGATACGGTTTTATAATTCAAAATTGTAACATGATTCAAAAGTACTTTCTGAACAAACTGTAATTTTCTAGCATAACTTACTTGTGTATTCATATGATACTTTAGCAATAATATTATCTCTCTTGTTCCACAGGAATATTAATCGCTGTCATCATCATTCCTGCATCGATTCAGTGGTCGACGGCTTTCCTCGTCTGATCCATAAATTACATCCTCGTCAGAATCATTTATCATGGAGAAAGCAGGATTGTCTTTTGTGATAGGTGATTCTGTGAAATAAAAGATGAAGGGGGTTAGAAATGTTGGTAGCTATAATGTAATATTTGCTCTGCCATTAAACTCAAGGTAATCAGGTCTGTGGAAAAGAGTAGGTTCTGATAGCCAGTACATTAGGCTTACCTGGAGGCATCTGTCATACCATATTTTTGGCAATGATAGGAAAGACTATGTTTTCAGTACTATAGGCACTGAGCAGGCATCTACTTAGCCAGCGCTAAGAGCCTGGGTAGAGGAGTTTATGTAATCGGAATTATAGGCACAGGCATGAATAGATGTGTCTATGTAGTAAATGTAATAGACACACATAGAGGACTCCAGAAATACATTATCATTGGAATGTACAGAGGTGTCTGTGTACCCTAGTCCAGGGGTTCTTACCCTTTTTTGTTGGCGTACCACTAATTCTAATTTAACACATTAAATGTACCACTAACCAGATGCGTTCAGGGAAAATTTATTTATGTTAATATTATCTTATAATTTTCTTACTTAGTACACGTACCACTCAAATGGCTCACTTACCATAGGTTGAGAAACGCTGCCCTAGACTATACACCTCGCTATTTTGGGGCCCTGATCACAGAATATAATAGCTATACTTTGACTTTGGTACTAGGCGATTGTAATGGTTACATAGGAGAAAATCATAGATGCTATATAGTGGCATTGACACTAACTAACTAACTAACTAACTAGATGACTTACCGAACCCGAAGGTTCATCACCGAATTAACCAAAGCCCTCCACCGGACCCTGTCCTGGGCCAACAAAATCCAGTCTCCTTCAACTCCTATCTCCCATAGATCCCGCCTGATATTATCCTCCCATCTACGTCTAGGTCTCCCCAGCGGTCTCTTCCCCTCAGGCTTCCCAACCAATACTCAGTGCACACCTCTTGTCCCATTCATGCACGCTACATGCCCCGCCCATCTCATTCTTCTCGACTTAATCACCCTGACAATATTGGGGGAGGAGTACAGATTTTTAAGCTCATCATTATCATTGACACTACACCATTATAATAACATGGGTGTGACCATTGTAACAAAAGTGTAACATTATAATTTCCATACCATTAAAATGTCTATATAGGGCCCTCCAAATTAGACTATTATAAAGGCTGTATATGGTCCTATATGCTTCTAGACCATTACAGTTGCTGTATAGGGGATAGATTAATACAAAAGCTTCATAGTGACCTTGGTCCTTGACCATTATATTGGCTATATAAGAGCCTCAATCCTAGACAATTATAATGGAAACATAGGGTCCATATTAGACCATTATAATGCTTATAGAGGCCTTGTCCCTCGGCCATTTTAATAGCTGCAGAGGCAACTTGATCCCAGATAAATGCAATGCATTTATAGGGTCCATGAACATGGAACATTATAATGGCTTCATGTAGGTCTCAATTTGAGATCTTTAGCATGGCTACAAAGGGGCCTTGTTTCTAGACCATTATAATAGCTATACAGGGGCCCTGACCTTGGACTAATGGAAACATAGGGACCACAATCATAGACCTTTATAATTCTTATATAGAGGCCTTGTTCAGTGAAAGAATTGGAAGTTGGGCAAGCAGAGAAAGGGACAGATATAGAACTTACACATACATACAAACTTTTGACAATGCTTAAACTTATATGAAACTTCTGTTTTTGAGCTGAGCTTACCGAATACAGTTCCTTTTGCAGGTGAATAAACGTATGCCATAGTGTACAGGTAAAAATTAAGAAGGCTGTAAAATGACATAAATTGTGCAGAGCTCTTGTAGGTGGTTGACAGCTCTGCCACAAAGTTGTCTTCTAAGATCCCAACTCCAAATTTCAGTATGGTCACAGACAGACTTATTCCCAGCACAATGAGCATGAGTAGTGTCAGAAACTTGAGCCGCATATCTGTAAACATGAAAACCTAAATTTGGATGGGACCAGAATGATTTCGTGCAATGGATTTGCTCTTATTACAGAAACCATTTGTTAAATTTGTGAAATAAGAATATTTATTACAGAAAATTAATCTGGCCTTATCTACTTCATATGCTTGAAGAATGAAATCTGATGTGGAAATGTAACAATATTCATAACACTGACATATTGCACCTGGAGGTCCACATCTAACTAGGAGCCCCAACAGGTGGGCTTTCTCTACTTTTCCCTACTTTCTACCTAAAGACAGAAGCAGAATTCACCTTACAAAATGCTGTAACTTTATAGTTTTAAAATTCAGATGATGAACAAAGTCCACAAGTCAATTTTATATATTATAATGTACTGTCATCGGAAACTTTCAGACTTTGACCATTTCATTTAAATGAACATAATTTTGAAATAGACAGAATAAATTGTAAGAGTATGTAGTGTCTATAATGTGTTTTCATTAGTATGGAGTATATACTTTAATCCATATTTGGAAAAGAGAGTTGTCTACATAAAGGCTTATATTAATTTTTTCAGCATTAATTTGTTTGAAATTATTTTATAGAAACTACAATAAATTTAAATAATCTAATTACTGTATTATTTTTGTACTACTAATTCTTGTTTTAATTTTAATTTCCTGAATTTTACACATTCCTGTTTTACATTCAGCTGTAACATAAAGTAGACTTTCATTGTATGTGATGGGTAAATTGAACAGGCACATTCATATGAACACAAACATAACACAAAAATTAGCTTAAATAAATGTGGTATTAATCATATTAATATAGTCAATATCTCACAATATTTTAATGCTAGACTCACCAAAATATGGCATAGCTCGCAGCTCACTGTAGGCACGCAGAATCAGCAGTAGTAAATAAGCCAAGTACACACCACATGTCACGAAAAAGAACACTTTGAAACTCTGTAAAGTAAATATGAATAATATTAACCTTTAATTACCATTCAAGAGTCAATTTTCAGATGTCATATAAGAATACCATATGTTGAAGGTTAAAATAGTTTATGGTGTAAGAACCCCTTGATAGAGGATTTTCATTATGTGTTTGATGAATTTTTAGCCGTTTAAAAGATTCTCGTAAAAGCCAACCACTGCACCCTTATACCAATCCAGTTAAATCTAGTTTATACTTTATGTTGCTTACAGAATGTCTGACCTTATGGCATAAATCATAAGTAATGAGATGAGCTCCCTGAGTAATGTAGAGTTCACTCTCAGACTGTCAATTATAAAGCCCAAATTTTAGCTCATTTTCTCTAACAGTTTATGAAATTTAAATATATTTTAGTAATTTTCTGTTGGTCTTCAAAGTCAGTTATAAACATGTGTTTGCAGTTCTGTTATAATTGATGTTATCATTATGCAGTTTTACTGTAACATGATGGAAGAATCAGGGAACAATGCAATAATCATGTCATGGCAGAAATTACTGTACATAAAGAAGACTTCAGAAATATTCTGTTAGTAATCCCACATAAAAAAATAGTTTAGTATGGAATTTTTAATGGCAACATTATGTTAAGAAAGCTAAGTTACTGACATCAAAGTTCTTTGTATCCAGTTTGTAACTGTATGTTGGATCTTGAAGCTCACTGAATTTCTGCCATGTTGCCATTGTAACAGCAGATATCCACAGCATCCCAACAATAAGGAGTTTGGGCAGATAAAATGTCAAAATACGGCGCTCATTCTGAGAACAAAGTAACACAGAAAAAAATTATAGCTAGGTGAAGGAATAACTAGTAATGTTTCCCTGGTAGCAAAATCTCCATATCTTTCTCATAAATTTATAACAAACTAAACCAGTTTATATTCATCTCATATACTATGATCACTCCAAAACTGAAATATTTTATAACCCTTCAAAGCCAAAGCTTGTCTAAATAATATTCAAGAATTCAGTGTACTACAAAGAAAATACATGTCTTCATTATAAAGATCAACTGGTAAATGCTATTTAAGGAAATAATTACTATTAAAATACAGAATTATACAAAACCCATAAATACAAAGAGGTTTATTTTTAAAGCAGGTGGGACATATCACTACCAATGATATTTAAAGAGTTATTAGAATCTGACAAGCAACTCTGGTACTGTAGTAGAATTAAAGCTGTTAATTCACTGTAGAATCCAAAGGTTTGACAATGCATTTAAGTTAGCATTGAAAGATTATTTTTTATCTCATTTTATGGAATAATTTACTTCAATTGAAAATTATTAAATATTAGAATTATACAAAACCCATAAATACAAAGAGGTTTATTTTTAAAGCAGGTGGGACATATCACTACCAATGATATTTAAAGAGTTATTAGAATCTGACAAGCAACTCTGGTACTGTAGTAGAATTAAAGCTGTTAATTCACTGTAGAATCCAAAGGTTTGACAATGCATTTAAGTTAGCATTGAAAGATTATTTTTTATCTCATTTTATGGAATAATTTACTTCAATTGAAAATTATTAAATATTGTAAACAGATGTAATAAGTATGCTGTTTTGATATTTTATTGTACTAAGTATTCATATTCCCCCACTTAATGGTACCTGCACCTTGTCGTGGTGGTGGGGCTTGAGTACCTCAGTGACCCCAAGAGTTACTGGTAGGGCCTCCCTAGCCAGATTGGTCGAGGGGGAGAGGTCAGACTAAGTCAGGTACCCTGGTCCTCCAGGTTGGGGGTTGGTTGCAAGGCTAACAACCTTGCACCGTAAAAAGGAAGATGTTTCGAAACCTCAATCAAAGCCTCGGACAGACAGACCTAACAGAGCAGCGGAGGATAGGACCAAATGGAAGAGGAGAATTGAGGAGGCCATGGACCGAATACGGACCGGAGAGCCATAGAAGAAGAAGAAGAAGTAGTAGTATTCATATTCATACTATGACATTCTCCACATTCTTAGCTTGTACAGAGAAGGACCTATAGACTGTAAATAAATTCTAATTCTAACATAATTACCTTCCAGGAGCTTTCCCCACCAAAATTGATAAGCATGTTATGAGACAATTTAATTCAAAACTATACATGTTATTATTTAAGGAATACTTCACTTTCTTAATTTATAGAAGTTTTTCAAATTCAGTTCTAGCATGTTCTGATAGAAAAATACCTTTGTTAAAAGCTACAGCTAATATATAATCTATGTACAGACTGCAATCTCTAAGGGTTCATTGAACAGCAATACATTCTTATAACAGAATTTCACAACTTGCCTGGCGCAGACCATGGTACACACATAACCAGAAGAGCAGAAGAGCACAGAGAAATGAGGCTTGAAATAATGCATCTAACATTCCTGGCAGCCAGGAGTTAATAAGGAACATCATCGGAAAGATTGGATCTGAAATACGCAAAAGAATAAAATAGAAATAGTAGACACAAAATTCGTTAAACACGAAAAAAGCCAAATAAAAACAAAGACTCACAAAAAAGTAGGAATAAATACATATGACCATTAAGTTGAAACTCACTGCACAACTTAAGACTTCTTTTACGTCCCATGGATGGATGGTGCGGTGATCTTTTTGTATCCCAGGACTTTCACTTTTTACTTTGTCCGGAGATAGGGATTAGCTATACCTAGTGGGCCCAACTGAGTAGGCACCTGAAGATGGAGATAGAGCCCCATCTCCAAAATTCGTTTTACATTTTATATTTTACTTACTACACGATGGATAATATCCAAGAAAATTTTTATTCAAATGACTCATCACCATTGTCAAGAAGTTTTAGATTTTAAAAACATATATCTTACTTTATTGCAATGCCATAATATTTTCTTGTGTCACAGTAAAGTTTGACTCACCATTGTACAGCAGGAGTAAAGGTAGAAGAACAGACATCCACTTTTGCTCAATTGACCAGTCATACATTGCAAATTTTCTCAAAGAATGTGCAAACCAACACTGAAACACAACCCGTAATGAATGCAGTTTGTTTGCTGCTTCATTTAATGCACTGGAACACAAATCTGACCTTACAGCATTTAATGAATTATATAAACAGATCTTTCATGCAGGATTAAAATCTAAACAAGGTCTAGCTGGATGTATGTACAATCTTGTGGCTTACCATTACTGAAAATGTGCCAAGGAGAAAGACAAACCGGAACCAAATTTCAACCTGGGTGAATGCTGGATTGTAACTCTTAAACTGAAATTAAGGTTAATAAGAATCACACTTTAATGACAGATTACAGTTGAACAGTTTTGTCATGTACATGTGTAAATTAAAGTTGATGAATTTATTACACACTAGTTCCCAGTTAAGTTCTGTAGATAACTGAACATTTGTCTTTTAGTGTTGTAGATATTAATTAATTTACTTTATTAAGTACGAATATTAACACTTTCCATCTATACAATATGTACCTAACAGAAACTGCTTTTATCAAAAACTATTTAAAAGATAATATAAATAAATACTTGATTCTTGCAAAACTGAATCATCAGAAATAAATTTAGCCAGGATTAAGCTCTTCATTACAATTTAATTACAGTATCATCCTTTGAAAAATACAGAAAATCCTTGCAGTATGAATTATGTAATATATATAGCTAATTCCTCATTTTGCTGGCCCAGGACACGGACTGGTGGAGGGCTTTGGTTAATGTAGTGATGAACCTTCTGGTTCCCTAAGGCATCTAGTTAGATAGTTATAGCAAATTCTTCATTTAAGATTCATTTAGTGAGTAGGCAATGAATTTAAACACTGAACTCAGGAGAATGGAGACAATTTATCATTGAGGCTATTTCTTTGTGGATGTAGAAATTTAACTCTTAAATGAGGGAAGACCATAAGTTAACACAGGTATTCTATAGTATATGATCAGATGGAATGAATGATCTTAATTAATATGTCCTAGTCAAGTATTGTTACTATACACTTTTATTAGTGCTTGCATGTTGTAGGTTCTTGGCTGTTGGCAAACACTCTAATAAAGAAATTGAATTATTAGTACTGCTATAATTCTATACACAAAACTCTTGTATGTTCAACATTACAAGCTATGTGTTTATTTATTATAATTTATATAACCATTATAAGCACTGCATTTTCAGTTCAAGATATAAAATCTTATCTGTTCAGACTGCTTTTTGTGATCTAGAAGGCCTGTAATCTACTGGATCATAAACATTAAATTATATTTCTGTTGTCTTCCAAAATACATCCAGATACATGAAGATAGTTTGCTTTAAATTAAAGGCATTGTGAAGATATACATGGGAATGCTAATAGTGTGCCACCATATCACTAAAATTTGAGAAAAATAAAATAAATATTTTACTTATAGCACAATCGCTGCATGATAATAATATTGTTATTATTAAAATACCTTGGCATTGTGATGCAATTGTTTGGGGGATTTAATAATACTGCATTTCCACATGACATGACTTCTAGACCAGGATTTGCCTTTGCATACAAGACACAGCTACTTACAAAGAACATAACTTCAATTATGTTATAGCGCTGATGAAAACTTTCCAGTCCATGAAAACGCACTGTCAACATATAGTGCGTGTAGTCAAGAAAACCAAGATGGAGGACCATAAATTCTTCACATGACTGACGCTCACATATAAGGTGACGAGTCCTGCAATATGGAGTCCTTATTTTAATCTTGGGTGTTACATTTGGGCACATCCATACTGTAGAAATGTCTTCCCAATACAGGTAATAGCATAATAAACCCCATGGTACAAAGTCTTCTAGGAATAACTGGTGGTTATTCAGGTTATCAAGTAATTTCCAGTTGACACAGAACACATGTTCATCACCATCACTATAAAAACTTCTCACTGTACTCTGCCTTGAGCCAATTCAATCCAGTTCAAAGAGATCCTCAGTTTGATGAGAAGATAGGCTACACTGAGATCTTTTTGTGGTTTTCCTCAGTTATGACAATTTAACAATTACAAGTAGCTGCTGAGGAAATGAAACTTCTAAATTAAGGCTAAGTTAATTGTGTGTAGCTTTTAAGTTTTTATTTTGTTTTACTTAATGTGCTGACTAATGCAACTGACTTGTCTTCAAACCATTAGCCATTAATCAACTAAAAATATACACCTCAGTAATGTCTTCAGAATATTTCTATAATGAATTACTCCACCAAGTTTCATATTAAGCAGAATAGTACTTCGTTTTATATATATTTTAATTAACTGTTTCAAAATTAGAAAAATTAAATTATTCATAGTTGGTCAGTTTAATATACAACATATATATTTAGGTTTTTCCACAGATAACAGAATGCAACTTAGTGTCATTATTGTACATAAACCTAATGGAAGAGAATGAAGACGGAAATACAAGTGTGCCTGCTTTAAGATCACTACAATCCCATTGGTTAACCATCTATTTTACGATGCTGTATCAAACAATAAGACTGTGCCTGTAAATGGGATATCGTAAAATGATGAAACAGAATATATGTGGAAGTTATGATTATGCAATTCATGAAGTGGGATCAAAGCTGGCAATTTTAAAAGCATAAGTCTCTCAAGTTTACACACTATGCTTGGTGAAATGGTACAATTTATTAGCTATGCATACTAAAAACTGAGGTTAGACAATATGAGTTAATGGTGAAGGATATTCCATTTGGGCTGAAAAGTTAATGACATATATACCTGTTATGTGCTCTGTCGCTATGCAGAATTATAACTGGTTTGTGGTCTGCTGTTACACCTTCAATGGCTACACTCACATGAAAAGTTTTGTCAAAGCTTTCATCTGCAAAAGAAAGCAAGAAACAGAACAAAACTGCACTCTGATAAGTTACTCATTCAACATACACAGGAAATATATACCTGTGAATTGCAAATATATTAAATAAACAGTCATGGACAGCTTTGGTCTTCAGCTTGAGGGGCTGAGTGGGAAGATAAAAATTCCTCATCACAAAAGCCCATGTGTTACAAAATGTTGAAACCATTCAAAATTATTTTGTTCACGATCTCGCGTTTGAAACACAAAGGAAAGAAAACCATCCTGTTACACACAATGTAGGTGCACAGAGGAAAGGAGGTTTAGCTCCTACTCATTCTCAACCTTGGCACTAGATGAGTGGTCAGCATTACCCCTATGGAAAGGACCTCCAGTACCCACTGGACAGAAGGCTGGGTGGGCCCCAGAGCTGATCTGGATACAGAGGCTAGAAGAAAATCCTCTGCGCCTATCAGGGATCAAACCTCAATCGTCCAGTCTGTAGTCAGTCACTAAACTGACTGAGCTACCCGACTAGGAACATAAAGGTTACAATGTACAACACTAATTCAGTCATTGTTTTACATGAGTGTGAAACTTGGTCTCTCTAGGTCTCTGATTGTAAGGAATGAGCAAACACTGGGAGCATTTTAGAACAGTGATGAGGGCTTAAGAGAGAGAAATTAATGTAAGATTACAGGAAGTTCGAAATGAGAAGCTTCATATCTTCACTAAATGTTGTCACTGTGATCAGGAAGTGTGGATAGGAAGTAGCAACTGGCTTAATGCAATTCAACCAGAATTATAAGCTATATTCATGTGGATTAATCTGATAACCTTGGTCTAAGGAAGCTAATGACTTATGGTTATAGCTGATTCCAAAATAGTATAATTGAAAATATTTGTATTAAGAACACTATTTAAAAACAGGTGTAACTAAGTCATGTCGTCACTGATGATGAATGGAAATATTATATAACCAAAATATTTACGTGTTCTTACAAAATGAAATTTTAATCATGGACAAAGCAATAATATCATATTTTATGAGAGATTTAAAATAATGTTGCACACATTCTGTGCAACAAATTAATAATTGAAAGTTTTATTAATCAACTGTTACCAATTACTTCTCATTCTCTTTTCTTTACATTTATCCTCCAAATGTATTGGCAACTTACTTAACACTTTAAAGCCCAGCAAACCCTACACACATCATGGGATTTAACAATCACAGACTCTGAATATTTGCACACAGAGTGTATTAATGGGTTTTGTATGATTCTAAGAATAAACATAAATTACTTCCTAAACCAACTGATCACAGTAATGAAGAAATTTAGTTTTCTTTGAGGTAACTATAGTTTCAAATATCATCTAAATGAACCTTAGAATCACAGAGTTAAGATCTATTTAAACTGAGCCAGGATAAAACATGCAAATTCCCTCACCATCTTTGTTGTCAGTTGTGACTTTGGCAATAACCCAAAGCTGCTGATTATATGTTGACATTGTCGGTGTCATCATTAAGAATGGGCCATTTGCTAAATCACTTCCATTTTGTTTCAATATGAGGACAGAAGCTCTCTGTTCTGATGTGCTTGTGATTGGTGGACCTGGGTACATCAAGTGACAAGATTAAATTGATTTCTGGATTATCCATGCTGGAAAAAAATTGCATAACTTCATCTAAAAAAGTGCATAAAATAAAATAACAATCTTTTATTACATTTTAAATAAGATTTCCTTAGATTAATTCATAATTCTTAAGGAAAAGGATCAAGGAAACAATGTTTTAAAATTCACATTAATTAATGAGTCATACAGATGTAATATTTGTATAATCTCTGCAGTACAAAGAGTATTATTAAGTAATATAAGAATAACTCAATGAACTGTAATATATATTACTGTTAAAAATCTTATGGAATTATTTATACAAGATTTAAGTGTAATGCTCTAAACATTAATTAAGGGACCAAATATCATGGCTGAGTTGTTAGCACTCTAGCTGTGCAATAAGGAGGTATCTGGTTCAAACCTTGGCCCAGAGACTATCATGAAGGTTTTCATGGTTTTCCTCACTCTCTCCAAGTAAATGGTGAAATAATACATTAAATAAGACCATGACTACTTCCTTACGTATCCTTTATAATTTATTATTAATCATCATATCATTCAATAGAATGTAATCAGAGCTATGGTGTCATTGTATAATACATATATAAATAAAAAAGTAAAGGAAATTTAGGTATTTCATTTATAATATTTAAAAATGAATCAATGACAGTATTACCAGGAATATACGTCAAGGAAATGTCTGTATATCAGTTACAAACCTTCTAGCATAACCCCATAGAATTTAAAATTATATGCACATCTTCTAAAATATATATTAAAACAAGATTTTAATTTGTGTTCACCATGAAGAAAAATATTAAGTGTATAATGAATTAAAACAAATATCTTGTGATCCTCTCAGAAAGGAAAAATGGGCCTCATTTTTCAGTTTCTAGTCCCTAAAATTATTGTTATTTACCTGCTAAGCCAATGAACAGACCAAGTCCAAAGCATGCAAAGAATGCTAAGAACACCATGACAAACTCTCGTTTGTGCATAGAATACAGCCGCATCTGTACTGACCTGTACGCAAACAACAGAAATATATCACAACATTCAGTTCTATGCAGAATACTTTGTTATCCCTTTTATAAAGTAGAGAGCCCATGCACTATGCCATAAATATAAACGTAACAAAAACAGGGGAAACAAACATTAAAAAATGACAGAACAAAGAAATTATGTCAGTATGTGATGTCATAATTCTTACTGGCTGCTATCAGAATCTGACAAAGTCAAAAGACGGGATATATAATAGAAAACTGAACCTGGCCAGGAATGATTGGCAATCCTAGTTGGTCCCATACTGAATGACATTTGCTTAACATGAACATAACCTTTACTGAAATTTACATAGAAAGTAATTGTGAAATTTTCCTGTCATCAAGAGCAATGGCTTCTTACCTCTCACATCGATCATGATGATATGCTGGTGCAATATAGCGGTTAAATTCACTGAATAAGTCACTGAATTGTGAGAGAGCATTGCGAATTTTCAGACTCCATCCGCCAGAAGGAAGGTGGTAGGAGTAACCTAAACCAGTTCCATCAACCTTAGCCATTTTTCACTGTCCTAATGAAAAGAATTGTAATAATGATTATTATGTAGTTAATACTAAACTACAGGGGTCTCAGAGGCCTCTCATTGTTATTCAAATTATGTGACAAAGAAAATTAACAACCAATCTCAGTGGCTATGTGGTCTAGGGCAGTGGTATTGAACCTGGGGTACGTGAAGACATCTTAAGGGGTATGTGAAATTTAAAAAATATATATATTTTATGATAAACACTGAATAATCAGTAATGTAATTTATTTAATTTATTTTAGATGTAGATTATATACTATGTATAACTTTAATTATACACCAACAACTTTGGGGGTACAAAGTTGAAGAGAAATTATATATGGGGGTACGCGAACAAAAAAGGTTGAATACCACTGGTCTAGGACATAAGTCTTGGCCATCTGGATACTCAGTTCATGAGTTTTAATCCCACTTAAGGCATGGATATTTGACCTCATCTTTCTGTGCTGTGTTGTCCTGTGTAGCCAGAGGTCTGGTGATGGGGTTACCACCCATCCTGCCAGCTGTCTAAACTGATTCATAATTTTAGAAGTGATTCTGAATTGGAACAGCCCACTTAAGTGTTATGATGATGGTGATGATGATCAAGCTTAACACCTTTAATAGTAATGATGGATATGACTTAGGATCAAAGTGAAAGACCAAAAGCTATCCCATAAATCTAATTTATTGATGTTATCTAGTTACACTTAATTTTAATATTTAAATAAAGTTATAAGACCATGCACTAAGTTATTTAGAGGAGTTACATGTAATCTGAAAGTAAAGAAAGGGATGGAAAAGAAAAGAAGAGAAATAATACTGTGTAAGGATGAACTTGAGGGGAGATGAAAAAAATGAATTAATGAACAAATGTAACTGACAGTTGTGAATGACTAATGTGGTTGAGGAAAATTTAAATGCATGTACTTGCTATGAGGCAGGCAGGCAGGCAGGCAGCCATGGCTCTGTGAACAAGGACAGAGAGCACTCCACCCTTGTTGACGGGGCCAATGATATTGCAAACACCTGTGAGGAACAATACCTGGTGCAAGACAGTAAAATATTGTCAACTACATCTACCTTTTATGGGGTATACCCATCAGTCAGCGCTCTGTTGGAGACATTTTCAACAACAACAACAATAATAAACAGAAATATACAAAAGTTTAAAATAGTTGAAGGATACAAAATTTGAGAATCTTCAGGTTATGTTGATTATTTGGATAGGGCAAGTGAAAGTGGAAAAACTAATGAAATTACTAAAGAAAAAAACTCTTTCTGGTACTTAAGCACATAGGACCCAACACTTAAAACACCAAACTTTTGTAACATTCCCATTTGAATCAGGCGTAATTCATTTCATATTATACTGTAAAATCACGCTGTGGAAAAATTAGAATTTCAAACATATCTTCTGTTATATAATATGTAATATTATGTTATATTATATCACAGTTTCATGAAGAACTACAACAGCACTCACCTTGCTTTATTTCAATCAGTACTACTTAGGATCTTCTCAACACAGCAGGACACCATTACATAACAGGATAGACTATTCTTTGGTTCCCTATCTTGTACATTTTAAACTATTTTATAAAATTGAGATTTTAATAACTCTTTAATTTAATACTAATCCAATATACAAATGAAATAAATATTTGCTATTTATTTAACACCCAAACAAACTCAATACAGCACTGTTTAAATGAAGTGAGGACTAGTACTAAGGGATGACAATGGTTAAAAACATCAACATGAGATGGTCTCCCACCATGGCCTACTTTCAACACCAGTGAGTACACACACTCATGCCTAACTAGTAAAGTGTGGGGGAAAGGGGTTGGACGGAATCTAGTATGGGATTGCCATGGAAACAGAGTATTGATCCATGGGAGAATCCATTATGTATCTGCAGTTCCTCACATTCAGGGAGGGAAGGAGTGAAAAACAGGAACAGAGTTTAATAACAGACTCCCTGTGCCTATGGTGGGGATGGAATTATCTTATCTTTGTAACTTATTCAAAATAGATTGGACTTCTTTCTATCATTTCACTGAACTATGAAGGAGTGAGAGGAGATGCTCTTTTAATCCTGGCTCAAACTTCTTTGTATTTTGATCAAGACTTTTTATAGTGGGGAAGGGGAGATTATTGAATACATTAATTACAGTACAGTAAACTCCTTTTTGATATCTACTGTTAGTGTTTGGCACATGAAGGTTTTATCTGTATCTTGTAATGTTATTGAAGATCTGAGTTTGTTTGAAAATTTTCTATATTGTCCACTACAAATGGTGATAATTAGAGCAAGAATTCACTGGCTAGTAGAAGAATATTATATTTCTTAAACAACTCTACATGAGGCTCTCCTTTTAGTACCTGCCATAATTCTAATGATTTTCTTTTGGATATAAAATACTTTTTTTGGTGTCTGTTGAGTTTCCCCAGAAAATAATTCCATAAGACATGACTGAATGGAACTAAGCAAAGTAGACTAATTTTAAGTTTCTGTTTTCATGAGTGATGTGACAGTCCTCAAAGCAAAGCATGCTGAGCTTAGTTTAGGCATAAAGTATTGAATACGCGTTTTTCAGTTTAAGTTATTGTCAATTTGTAGACCAAGAAATTTAGCTGTTTCTACTTCTTCAATTGTTTTATCCTCATACCCTATATTTACAGTCCACAGACCAGGAGAAAAGCCCTGCTAGGAATGCGATATACGCGCATGCGCAAGATTTCGCGGTGAGTGACGACCCATCCTAATAGCCACAACCACTGAATGAACAACAGACAACTGGCTTCCATGTGTTCTAATGGGTACAACTTTAAGATTATCTCACAGTGGCAGAGTTATTTAATTTAGAATATTATCACAACACCCTCAGAGCACATTACGACACGCTACTCTTAAATGCTTGATGTTTTCAGTCTGTGAGTAGCAGTGTAAAACTTTGCCGTATCACACTTCCCACCAATAGCAGCCCTCTAGTCCAGCTGATATGAAACATTCCCCCTGCACAGCACCAGAAATGATTTCCCCCCGCAGGGCATTTCTCCTGGTCTGTGGACAGTAGATTAATGTCTGTCTGGGCTGTATGGAGTGAGGGCAAGGGAGCCAGTGGGAAAAGGAGGCAGTAAGCACCTCCGAAACGTCGGTAAACTTTTACCAGGCTGAACGGTGTACAATCCAGAAGAAAATCTTCTTCATATCGCTCCCATCAAAAACATGAAACCGTCTGTGACACGGTCCTTCAAACTATTGACTTGTAATCTTTCCTTCTGAAGGTGCATCATTCTTCCGCTGGAGGCGACAGCTTACGCCTCCCATCTAAAACAGTGTGTTATATGCTGCCACCACAAGATCCTTTATAGTACTATATATGTTTGTACTTCCTGTATTTTACTCCTAGAGGTCGCGCGAGTAGTCGTGGCACCTAAATGCACGATGTGTAAGCCGAGAGAGGAGTGCCCAGTAGTAGTAGGGTCTCACAGCCTCAGCTGCTGTGACGCAACGATCTAAATACAACTAGAGCTAGAAACCAACTGAAGCTGACACCCCTCTAGAGCGTGCGTCGGACGGGTCCACCTCATACGACCAAAATCAGTCCTTTGCGCAAGTGCCGGCCACTACTAATAATATAACAATGTCAAAAATAATAAGCTTGCAGTGTTCGGTATATTTGTTCGATATACCAGAGTATCTTTTTGACGCTTTGAGATTTTGACGGAGACTATGCAATTTTTAAACGTCCAGAATTCATAATTGTGGCACATAGAAGTCAAAACTTTAGTATGAAGATATCTTCTTTGATTTGGATGAGTCTTTGTGACACAATAGAAATTACATAAGGAATGACAGTGATTATTGCAGCAATTATATTTCCATTGCTGATGTGGCTGCTAACGCATGGGAGAGATGAGAAATGTATGCAAAATTCTGGACAACAAGTCTAATCACTTTAAAATGGATCTTAACACTTCCATGACTATCTTAAGCAAGTGGAAGTCTGACCCTGGAGTCAGTATGTTTTTAGAAGCCTTTGTGACCTGTACTACTTGAAGGCCTATCATATTTTAATTTTCTTCAAAGTTTCCCTAAAATGACCCATGGCGCACATATGCGTTGGTTCATATTCTATGTCGCTGGTGTCGGGTTGAGGCACTGGACTTATCCTGAGCGCTCAGTGTTCTAGCCCTATACGGATCAGCGTGCACACTTTTCTGTTCCTGTTTCCTGTGCAATTTCCGTGCATGACAAAAATCCGCAAACGTTTTATTCCACGTAAATTTCGAATTCTTACGCTAGATGTCACTGGCATGCAGAACGTTAAATAGCTCCGCGTCTACTACATCAGAACACTGCCCGTAAATTTCTTTCTTAATTTCCTATCCTTTCCATTTTTATTAACATAAATAAATGTTGTACTAGTATCAAATTGTAAGGTTATTTTGATCGAAACTGAAATTAAGACAATTTGCTTTAGCGCCCTTCCTCTTATTATATTAAAACTACTATAAAATACCAAAGAAAACTACTAATTATTCAATTAATTTATGACTGGCACTATCTCTGACTACTTAGCGCCAAATGACACAATAATTAGTGAATAATATGTTGAAAGGGATATGGATGGAAGCGGTCGTGGCGTGTTTGAAGGTACTACCCGACATTTGACTGCAAGGGCTGAGGAAAACCACGAAATACCTGAGCCAGAGTAGCCGGTCTCTGGGCCGACATTTTAACCCTGGACCTCCCAAACACAATCCAGGAATGTTAATCAATCCGCCGCGACTTTCAGTATTGTGTGTGTTGATACAGCTATGGGAAATAAATAGAAATCTTAAGAAAACGGAAAATAACGACTTGGCGAGCACTCGAAATATTTTTGTCGTGAATCATTGGAACTTGGCATTTGACTTATACAAACACATCTACAAATTTATTTGAAATATTTGTGTCTTTGTTTGGCACGCATCAGATATCTGCATAGGCCTACTCTCATAATTATCAAACAGTTACGAAGTTCGTTGAAGAAAGATCTAACCGAAAATGTTTATTTTTGGGAGTACGTTACATAGACGTTATATTTCTACATCTAGAGGCCCAGTATTTTAGAACCCTAGCGTGCACAACACCAACAGCAAAATAATTCAATTCTTGTTACTCTAATTTGTCTGGAACAAGGAGATGCTTTGTCTCCATTGCTCTTTAATTTTGCGCTAGAATATGCCATCAGGAAAGTCAAAGATAGGCAGGAGGGTTTGCAATTGAATGGGACAAATCAGCTATTGGCATATGCTGATGATGTTAATTTATTGGGGGACGATATGAATACAATAAAGAGGAACGCAGAAGTTTTACTAGAGGCTAGTAGACAGGTGGGG